AAAAAAAAAAAAAAAAAAAAAGATGCGAACAAAGCTAAGGAAAAAAGGTATCAATTGACAGAAATTTTGTAGGAAAATGACCCTGAAAAGTGTTATCTGTTACTAATGAATACCAGAATATTTTACTCCAAAAATAAGATAGGATTTCGTATTAAATATGTAACTCAGTGGGAATAGGGAATTGAAAAGAAATTAGAATAATTGATTAAATATAGTGGGAATATTTTAGGATTTCTCAAGGGAAGACCTGGGAAATTTAACAATGATACTTTTTAAATAGCATCTGAGAGCTGGAGGTGGTGGCACACACCTATAATCCCACACTTCAGAGGCTGATGCAAGAGTACCACGGAGTTTGAGACCAGCCTAGCTTGCATGGTGAGTTCAAGACCAGCCTGAACTACATAATGAGGCCTTATCTAATAAATAAATGACATCTAAAAATGTGAACCTATGGGAATAAATGTATTTTGTTGTTTGTTTGGTTTTTTGAGAGGTTTTTTTGGTTTTTTTGTTTTGGGGGGGTGTTTGTTTGGTTTGGGTTTTTGATTTTTGGTTTTTGGTTTTTTTGAGGCAAAGTCTCATTATGTAGTTCAGGCTGGCCTCAAACTCACAGTAATCCTTCTGCCTCAGCCTCCTGAGTGTTGGGATTACAGACATACACCACCATGCCCAGCGGGAATAAATTTAATTTTTAAAAAAAGATTTACATGGCTGCTATCTACAAAGCTAAAATTACTATTGAGAGGAATTGAAGAAGACCAACGAAACAGAGGGGAGAGGGATATACTTTGTTAATGCTTAGGAGAGTCAGTATTAAAAGAAGCCAATTCTCCCCCAAGTTAATCTATAATTTTCATACAATCATAATAAAAGTTCCAGCAAGATTTTTGTAAAAATTGCCAAACTCAGTCTAATAGTTATATGTAAATACAAAGGCTAAGAATAGCTGAAACAAGTCAAAGAACAAAATTGTAAAACTTATATAACTAGACATTAAAGCTACAATAATTAGCACAATATGCAACCACTGTGGAAATCAGTATGGAGATACCTCAAAGAACTAGGACTGGAAGTCCCATTTGACCCCACTATTCCACTGCTGGGGAT